TCGGCTCGACTGGGGAAGGATACCGCACTCACAGAATACCAGCGTAAAATAACACCTCAATCAATGCTGTTGTGTTTCGTATGGTGAGTGTAAAGTGACCTTTTTACTGAAAACGAGGCATTCCATCTTAGTCCTTAGGGGTAACAACATATATGCATTTCGATTCTTAATCGAGGATAAATTTGGATGTCTGTGTCACAGCATCCACTTACCACTAGGTGAACTGTATGCTCGTTTGTCATCATTATTCTATAAAAAAATATTCGGTAACAATCCGGCTGATGACGATGATGAAATTCAATAAATTAAGTTATGAAAGTGCAATTCCATCTTGCGCGAGATTTTATTCACAAAATCGTCAATCATATCGTCGTATGAAATATTCTTCATTAGCTGACTCTATGCACAAAAGCCCTAAGGCGTTAGTTTAGCTTTTTTGGCTCATGGTGGATCTTAGCAAGTTTTTCACCCGTTTAAGCCAGAAAGGCTTCTCTCACTCGAATAATTTTTCGTTGGTGTACATAAAGACATACTAACTGCTGCATCAAAGTTTGGGTAGTTTTGCACTCTTTTTCGCAAGAAGGAAGATATAGGCTTTGCAATAATTCAGAATCAGGTTTCACTAAAAATCTTTCAGAAGAAAGATGGCATTGAAAATGTATACATTCTTGAACTAAATCAGTCATAAAAAATCAAATCAAAAAAAAAAAAATCAAAGTCACAAAAAAGCCATGAGAATACATTTCTTTCAAGAAAAGGATTTTTCCGTACTAATTAATGATAATAAATCACTAATTTTCCTCTAAAATGAAAACTTCATTTAATCCGTTGTAGGCGTCCTGTCGTTTTCCTAATTCGGATACGAGTGTATCAATGAGGAAAAGAAATATATTAACCCTGACAATATCATTAGTAGTTATTCTCAGTTCATCATGGGGTGTTTGATTTCTTTTTTCTTTTCAGTTGTCTTTTTCCCATGTCTCTTGTATACTGCTTCGACACGTTTAATTTCATCGCCTTTTTTTTTTCGAAATACTTAAAAATTTCTCGTTCAGCTACGAAAAACTTGCAAAATTCGTAAAAATTGACTACTTTAATCAAATACCTGGTAGAACCTAATATTTGGTAGAAATCTGAATTTAAACATTTAGTTTTATACAGGCTTTTCGGTGCAATCATCCTTGATTAATTTCAAAGAACAAGCTTTTGTACAAAATTCAGCAGCCACAGATGCCACTGAATTTAAAGTGTGCGGAGCAAGGAACGAAAAAAATGATTTCACTTCCGAGATAATGGCAGAAAATATTAATCATAATTATTATTATAATATATATTAATCAAATATTCTCATTAATTTCTGTGAGACATAAAAAACATTTGCCGCCCTCCTAGTCTCCAATCTACTCAGCCTGCTGGTAAATCCGCTACTGCTCTCCATACAATGACTGGAGTTTCTCGTCGATATTTCTCGAAGCGGGATTTCTCGAGAAATTTGGTTTTATTCGAGACGTGAAAGTGTGACCTATAAAAAATTTACTTGTACTTTTTTATACCATTTTATACGTCCATGGATACTATAAAAAAATAGATATTTAGCTAGAAATTGGGATGTTAGTACTGGTAGTCCTTGAATTTAATAACCTAAACAAGACTAAATAATTAATAAACGTTATTATAAAACGTAATTTTATTATTTTTAACAATTTTATGACAAATTTCCCGACAACTCGTTGATTCTCGAGAAATTCTTGTCAGGAATTCCCGGGGCTCGAGAAAAAATATGCCAAAAGATGAGAAACCCTTATAGGGGGATATTTGCCATAGTTATTTTATTTTGTTATTTGGAAGACTTGCCCATCTCCTGATGCTCCTTGCCTCAGTCGCCTGTTACGACACCCACGGGACGCTATGGGACCGTGGATATTCTTACACCAAAGGTCATATTTAATATGTGTTTTAAGTGTTTTGTTTAGTGACCACTGAAAACGAAAATATTTTTGTCACAAGCCCCAACAACGTATAGAAAGCGTTCAGCTGATTATCATTTAAATGCATAAATCAAACATTACTCATTTACTCACAGTATCTTTCTCAGTTTCTTTTAATTACTATAAGTAACTATAATTAATTAATGATAACATGTATTAACCAGTCATAACAACATTTTTAAATCACAAGCTTAAATTCTTCGATCTTTTCTAAATATTTCGATCCTCGTTTCATATAAAACCTAATAGATTTTTCATACTATACATAAAAAAATAAATTTGATACTGACATTACGGGGTTACAAATAAAACCACATTTCACCTTCAGTCATTTTTATTTAATAAATTATGTCATGTAGAATAAATAAATCACAATTTCAGGCGCATCAGAATGAAAGTGAATATTATAAAACTAATACGCGCCTTGCGTAAAGCGTAACTATGTTGTATGTTACAATATTATCAATTTACATCTAATATCCAGGCACCATATTGATATTATTACAACTTTTTAATTTTATACTCTTGAGTATAGCCTGTGAAATATTTAAATATACAATACATTAAAAACCTAATTAAAAATATTTGCAATATCCCTGTATAAATTATGACTTAATAAACAATCCCCAAACAAGCTTTATTGAAATAAAATTCATTGCTTAAGTAATTTATACCGTTTTATAATAATGTGAAGTAATTAAAAAAAATTATATATATATATATATATATATATATATATATATATATATATATATATATATATATATGTGTGTGTGACGGAATTTTCATGCATATTAATTTACATATTATAATTTAACACAATTGATGCACTTTGTTTCAAATCAATGTCGACAGCACAATATTGTATAATATTATAAACCAAAGAAAATAATTATAAACCGTATTCCAATAACTGAAGTTGTATAAACTAATTCATAAAATAATTGAAATTGTTTCAATGTATATAAAGTACTATATACAATAGAAATTTTATTCGAGATATTTAATTTAGACAAATATTTTACAAAGTAAAATTTTGAAATTATGTATTTAGTAAAAGCTATATTTTAAAGTTATATGATATATTTTCTAATGACATGAATATACTTTTTATTGCCATATAAAGTCCAGAAGCGCCTTAGTTGTTGTATTTTACCATTACATTGAGCCATAAACTTTTTTTAACCGAAGTGACAAACAAATTAACAGGTCACTGAATGGTAATTTGCCACAACAGTTCTTCGAAATCTGCTGCAAAAATCAAATAAAGAAGGCTAGATATGCGTTGTCACCTCTGAGGACTCTGATTTGCTTAGGGGTAAAAATATTTTAATATTTTATATTCATCGATAACATATTATAACCGCTGCGCATATTCCATAAAAATAATATTTATAACTACAAAAAATAAAACAACAATAAAGTAAACATGAGTTGGATCTAATAACGCGAAAGTAATCCAATTCACTGTTGGTTCAAAAATTTTAATATTTTGAAAAGTACAATAATCCATTCTTTTATATAGTTGCAGGTTCCAGCCAAAGTTGCAGTTGTTAAAAATTAAGAAAACAACAAATTCATTGAAAGCAAGTTATGAATATTGTATGGTTATATACTTTTGCCATCCTTAAGAGCACCTATAAAGTATTTTGCGGATTGGATCCTTTTTGCATACCTATGTCCTTATTGATTCATAATAAAAAGTAATTAAAAATGTTCACCATGTAAAGATTTTTACTCCCGACAGCAAAATTTTGTCAATGCAATAACCCAAACCAAAATTACAAAAATCCGTTGTTTCAATATTTTATGAATATTATAGACTACGGGCCCATGTCCAGAAAATGGATGGGTCATATGAACCACCAGGTGACGTATATAGGACGATATAAGAGCATAAAATAATAAGATTCAGCACTATGCCGTCACTTGTAGGCTGTCCAACTGAGTGCTGGTGAGAATTCAAAAGTGCAGGTAGAGTGAGTATATTTTTGTCATATATTTTTGTACGGCATTTTTACCATCGATAGATCCATGAAAAATAATAAGAAAGCGCGAAGTGCCGTAAAAAAATGGTCCGCCACAAAGTCGGTATATTTTTTTTTTGATTTTATGACAATTTCCAGGGTAAATTTAGTCATTTCAATTTGTACGGCATCAGTTTCATACTGTTTCAATACAGCTTCTAATCCATTATTCCGCAACGCCGTACAAAAATCATGAAAAAATCGAGGGTTGCAACCCTCTCTCTTTTCCGTAGTCCGGGGGGTGATTTGAAACAACATAAAATTGATTTATTTTGAAAGTATTTTATGCATAGATAATATTTTTTTACATGCCGTACAATTTTGTTGGTTCAAAGGTTTGTAGGGGAAAAAACTCAAAGAAAAATCGTAATAAAAATCGTAATCGTAAGAAAAATGCATATAACGAAATGTAAGGTGACCTACGCTACTACTTTACTCCTACTACGACTACTACGCTACGACTACGCGACTACGCTACCCCTATTTTACCTCACAAATACAAATCTTAATAGTTTGTCATCAAAAATATTTCTGCAAAGCTTTAAGCAAATGGGACGACGTAATAAGTTCCATACAAAGTTTATCCCTCCCCTCACCGCACCCCCTATACGTTTTTAAGCAAAAAAGAGTAGCCTATGATAGTCTTCAGGTCCCTATCAATCTTTATGTCATCTTTATGTCAAATTAATGACGATATTTTTTTATACGGCATTTAGATAGTTTATTTGTACCTAATGCAATAATTTATAAAAAGTTAATACAGTACAAATCTGAAAGTTCATATTGATAAAAAAGTAATAAAAATATTAAATATAATTTACATATATATCTCTTACGGAGCAACGTTCTGTTACGACGTTTAGCATTTGTAGGCATATATCATACACCTGCTAAAGCAAGAAAAACAGTCAACGATGCAAGGTGTATCATATTCGATAGGATTTATACACCGAAAAGCTGTAATGAAGCTTTCAAAAAGACAAATATGAAATTGGAAGCAACGTCGTTTCCCCCTTGTTTCCGGGAGCTAAAACAACATATGAAGAGAAGTACCTACATAGCACAGATTTGGTGTAATGCCTACAAACAAATACCGTCGACCTTGTTACCAATAAGCTATGGATGGATTTTCAATGACGGTCGGTACGATTTCGACTGGTTCCACGGCGAGGAATGCCCCCAAAAAGTTAGTGACATAACGGAACCGGATGAGGAATCAGGCGAAGAAATTGATGACGTCATAGGTAAATAAATAAATCTTTACATCTTTAATCTGATATGATAGGGAAGATAATTCGGACGTCGATGAAAACGTTGATTCCGATTACAACTCGCGGCTGATTCCGATACTGAATAATTTACATAAAAACCTTATTTTGTATTATCATCTTTAAATATATATCGAATTTTTCTAAAAAATAGTAGTTTTATTTATTCACATCATAACAATGAAATAAATCAATTATATACATGTATCAATAATGTTTGAAGTATATATTAAACCAAAAAGTATACAAAACTGTTGATACTGGGATTTACAGTTTCAATTCTTGGATATTATATACACACCCTTTCACTTCAGTTAGACGTCATAATGATTTTATCATATTATCAATTGTTCTCTTCAAAAATATGTTAACACCGCACAGTATCAGATGGCCATAAAGTACTACACCCTTAAAATAGTAGCGTCATTTTCATCAGCCTAAAAGATACGGTCTGCATTAAAATGTATGGCATCATTTTTTCCTAATTTATTTATCTTAATACATTTTAAAACAAGGGGAAAATGTAGAAAATTGCTATATTTTATTAATCTATGAATATTTAAACTTTTGCAATACTTTAAAAATTTTCAGATTTTGTATTTCTCTATAATTTTTTTAGAACAGTTTAATTTGAACGGCAATACTATATAACAATTGTATTTTACAATATCATGTTAAAAAAGTTGCCGTACATAGTATAAAGCTGTAAAATCAGTTAGTTTTCGACATATATACATTCCTCAGCAATTGAGAAGAAATCAGTATAAACAATCGTGGTAATAATTCAGATCCACGTGGCAGAGGCCAATCCGGCAGTAACCGCCGTGCAGCCCGCGACGCGCGAAGAGCTTACGATAGGCTCGTTGAAAGGAGACAACTGGAGGATTGGGCTTATGAACCTGAGCCATATGACCCACGGCGCGAGGTTAACCGGCGCCCCACCCCACGCTCCATGTCTCACAAAGAGAAGAAAGCGCCCATACGGGAGGGAACATGTCATCAAGCCGGACACAGAAGAAGTGGGCATCAGAGATGAACCTCTGTATGATATAGGCCCGCATCCTACCTTAGTCCCAGAAAGGGATAGGTACTGCCAGAAGTTTGATTATGCTGGCTTTATCCCGCTGCTCAATCAAACGAATGAGCAGTTGCGTGGTGACCCGCGGCTACATGAACGCCTTTCATTAAGCATGTTCGTTCACTCGATGCCAACACATCTAAATCTGGAGATTTTGGAACAGGCCCGGCGCTCTGGTCAGAACGTTTTAAACCAGAGGACGGACGTCAGGGAACTTCTGCACGACTAGCAAGTGCTGCCGCAGCCTATTGCGGACTATATATCGCATGTTGGCACCGCAATAACACAAGACGGTAAGGAAATTGCCCTGAATCTTCCAGAGATTGCAATTCCGCAGGGACCCATACTAGAATCGAGGTGGCTCCGAGCGGGTCGTTCGGTAATGTTGAAGCCGCTATCCACAATGTTTACGAATGTTACATCTCCCCGTACGTTACTTCAGCTCGTGTAATTGCATCACAACAGCAGGACGCTGCGTACCAGCCACTCCCCGATGGATTAATTCCGGGGAATTTAGTCCCTAACCCTAATTTACTTGGCTTTGAGCCAATTGATCCTAACAACAACGGATCCCAGGCCCGCTTAGCAGGGATAAACTTTGTTAGCGATGACACTTTAGAAGGACGCTATCGTGTTAGCCCGCTCTTGCAGACGAGGGTTTACACTATTTTCGCTGAAATGAAAGACAGATTCAAAATGTTAGAGATTAGAAGTGAAAACAACCCTCAAGGCCTGAATGTGACGAACAAGATACAAAAAAAGACCGTCGCGGCGAATCTTACATTCGTAGAAACGATCCGCCCCGTGAACGATGCAAATGTGCCGTTATATGAGAGAACAGTAAATGTATTGAGTTTCGGCGCTCAGGGATCAGCTGTCGCAAACCAATCCAATATCGAAGTGCTGCATAGAAGACGTAGCGACCAGCGCAATCAGCCAGCTAGAGGGCTGTGCTTTACTACGGCTGCTGGACAAGCTCCTGGTGGGTGGGTGGCCACCATTAATAATAACTTTCATATGGAAGGAGTTTTTGCACCTGTTTTACACTTCGACTATCCACAATCACGAATAGTGGAGTTCTCTTCTCGCGGTCCAGCCGGTTCGCGAATGTTTATAACTAAATGATTTTATAGCTTTATAAATCAAGTATTGTACCATGAAATTAAGATAATTATTAATATACATTCTAATGAACAATAATTTTCTGAAGGCATTATTTTTAATAGTACTTTTGAGTGCTAGATAATGTTTTCGAACCGAAGCCGTACTTTTTCAATTCACCCCCCGGACCACGGAAAGAGAGGGGGTTGCAACCCTCTATTTTTTCCCCTTGTCGCATGATTTTTGTACGGTGTTGCGGAATAATGGATTAGAAGCTGTATTGAAACAGTATGAAAATGATGCCGTACAGAATGAAATGACTAAATTTATCCTGAAAATTGTCTGAAAATCAAAAAAAAAATTACCGGCTTTGTGGCGCACCATTTTTTACGGCATTGCGACTTTCTTATTATTTTTCATGGATCTATAGATGGTAAAAATGCCGTACAAAAATATATGACAAAAATATACTCACTCTACCTGCACTTTTGAATTCTCACCAGCACTCAGTTGGACAGCCTACAAGTGACGGCATAGTGCTGAATCTTATTATTTTATGCTCTCATATCGTCCTATATACGTCACCTGGTGGTTCATATGACCCATCCATTTTTTGGATATGTGCCTGTAGTCTATTAAAAATGTATACATATAAAACAAAATTATTAATTTTCATTCACAAACTGCAGCTGAGAAAAAACTTCTTCATGGAGAAGTATGCTCTATAATATTATGAACACGAAAAACTTTTATATTGTAGGTACAAACATACACATCATGCCTACCTTACGATACCTCCTAATTAATTATATTACAAAGTCTTTCCTTTAAATAAGTCTTTTTTTAGCAAAAAGCATAGATGATTTAAACAGGATAAATCATAATTTTTAAATTTTTTTATGTAAAAATTGGTAATGTTTTCCTTTTTCACATTCAGATTATAAATGATCATACTTGTGAATTTATCTAACTATTAGTGTTAGCCTAAACGTTAAGAAAATATTTTTGCATCTATTTTGTAAAAGAAACAAGTTTATAAGTACAATTTTCATTTCATTCAATATAATATTTGATTTGATAGAGTAAATAATGAAGCCACTGAAATATTTACAATAATCTTATTACAACCGAAAAACGATTTAAGAGAATTTCGGGACATGGAAGTCCGCTACGCTGCCCTCACGTGTGGCTTCACACAAAAATCTACTTTCAACAAACTCTTATAGCAGTTCATAAACAATATTCAATTTCAATTTCAATAATATTTGAGTTAAATAATAGAAAAGTCATGCATCGTACAAATTTGTTACCGGTCCTCATTTTTTAAGCACAACTAGATTTACTCGCATGTTATATGTATGATATGTAACATAACCTGGATTTAAATCGGTTTAAAATCTGTAAAAAGTATAAACAAGAACTTTTAAAGGTAAAGTACGAGTATGTTCCGCTATCAGCTCTTCCTGTCGACATCGGCGGTGCGTCGTGCGAGCCGGAACATGCCGTTAGAGAGCGCCACCACCGGTGAGAACAACCTTAGCGGATATTCACTGCGGACGACATTGTGTCATAATTTATTGCATATACATGATGAAACACGAACGAACAACATGAATAATATTAGTTAATCTATTTTTAATGACCCACTACGTCATTGAATGAGATGGAATTTTTTGACAGATTTCACAGTGAAGGAAGTTGATTTGGTAGAAAAGTGAAGAGATTAATGTTTCTCTATTAAATATTACTTATTGTTTACATTAATTTGATAAGAAATGGACAAACCAAACAACAGATAGGGGAATTAAAATTTAAAAAAAAAGTTTAAAAATTAAAAAATACCCGCACACTGAGGTGGTAGAGCTATGTAGCTTAATGCTGCTGTGTTATGTATGGTAGGGTTTAGAGAACCGGAGACCCTTTTTACTGGAAATGAGGCATTCCATCTTAGTCCTCACAGGTGACAACGCATCTGCATTTTGATTCTTAATCGAGGATAGATGTTGATGTCCTTGGCCACAGCATCCACTGGTTAGTGGATGCTGATGGTTATCAAGTGGACTGTGTGCTCGTTTGTCACTGTCGGAAATCTAAAATTGATTCTGTTCATGTTGAGAGGTTGTCATGGTTACGTTGAGATGTAATGTACCAGTGTTTTTCAAGTATATTACTTAGCTAGTATTAGTTTCTATTTTTACTAACTGGATTTATTATTTAACCTATTATTATTAAAACGTAAAGCATTGTATACAATGTAATAAAGGAGTTATTCGACAGCAAACAAGGTGTTCTATTTATTGGTAAATCTACCTAGTGCAGATTTAACCAGTCAAGCTTATTATATAAGAAAAAGATGCATTGTTTTGCGTGTATACACGTATTATATATATACACTAAAAACAGAAAAATTCATATTCATAATCGCAACTTTTAAATGATTATGACACTGTGTGATCATATTAGTAATAATTAAGTTCATTTTAATTCCAACCAGCGACATCTAGCGAGCGAAAAATTATATTCCCTCATTGCCCGTGCCGAGTCGTAGTAGTCCCCGCTAGCACAAACTAAATTGTCAAGTCCTGATTTACCACGCGTTTTCGCACGTGCGAGAGCGGTGGTCTCGCACGAACATCAGACATCTTGCACGTTTGACGCCGCTTTTCGTCGCCGGTCTGGATATGTCTGGTGTAGACGTAATGTCATACAAGTCATCAATCGAAGTCTTTGATGGATATATTGGCAACATCTGACATTTCCCATTGTCGGCTCTTACGAAACGCACGGTAGGAAATGGGGTGACGGACACACACACTTACCGTATAAACTTCTTATAGTATAAACATTGTCTACGCGTTAAGCACGTAAAATTGTGGTAATATTTTATCAGAGTTGATTCTTCCTGGAAAATATATAATAGTTGTGGTTTAGTTCAAAAAATCACCCAACTATGTGACTATTGGTCACAGTATCCTTTTATCACCCTTAAAATGACGACTCCGTGGCGCAGTGGCTTAGCAATGAGTGGCTGCGCTGGGGGTCGCGGGTTCGAATCCCGCACGGAACAAGTATTTGTATGGCCTACATATAGTTGTTCCGGGTCTGGATGTTTGTCCTTGTGTAATTTATGTTTGTAAACTGCCCCCACGATACAAGAGAAAATCTTAGTGTAGGGGTAACGTTTTTTTAAAACAAAAAAAAATAAAAAAAAATCTTTAAAAAAATGTCTCTGAACATATTGTGACGCCATCATGGGAATTGGTTTCATTTGGAAGTAATTTACTACACTGGCCAAAAAGCTATCACTTACTTCAAGTAATTGTATGTAAAAAAATGTCATGTCTTGAACCACTCACCTTCCAATGACAGGGGTCGCCTCGTTCCCGCTCAAAATGAACACCGGGAAGAAAATGGAGAATACACAACCACTGAAAAAGAAAAAAAACATGTAAAGAGCTTGACACCTGCACAATATTAACACTATAGGTCATACATATCCTATATCTGATGGTTATTTGAGAGGTACATTTTATGTTCTATATTTTATTTTATTTTATATTTTTTGCTGATGTTATTATGTTGTTACAGTTTCACGCGCAGTATTTTGCTAATAATAAAGTATTTAATTAGTATCCTGTTATATATTATATACATATTTTATTAATCATTAATTATATATGTTTTTTCATAGAGTTCACGTATACTGATTGTTCTTGCGGAAGTACACGGTAACTGCAATCCAGGGGGCCATTAGAAAATCAGCGTTAGGTTTCCAACCTGACATCATGCTGAATTGATTCCTATCTTTTGGCATCACCCTGAGGCACTAGTTTTAAGAATATATATTATGTATATATTTTTTTATTATGTGCGAGCAGCTATGCAGGTCTAGGTAAAGAGACCAGTATCACTGCGACCTAGAAGATCTATTGTGATCGCTGCTATGGCTATAGTTCACTGCTAAGCCCTATGTCTTCAATGAATCGAAGGAGTTGCTTAGCCGTGAGCAATTTCACTTCTTCTGGGCGGAGTAGATAGTGTCCCAGATGAGTGTTACGTTTGCGCATTATGTATGTATAATTTTTTTTTCCTAATTTTAACTGGCTGTTTGTTCATAAATTGTTACTTTTTGTTTTGACTTTGTTTCTGTTTTCTGGTGCCTTATGTGTGTCAAAAATAAATATTTTTTCTTTCTTTCTTCTTTCATCTTGAGTTATCATCAGCATCATCCCTCCACAAGTCCATTGCTTAACATAGGCCTCTGCCAATTAATGCCATAAAGCACTGTCCTGCGCCACCTGCATCCATCAACTTCCTGCATATTATAGTAGGTCGTCACTCCATCTAATGGTGGACCCCCCCACACTTCGCTTAGCAGTACGAGGCTGCCACTCAAGAAGGTCCTGAGTACGAATCTCTATATAACGATGAAATTATTTGTTTTCTAGTGTCGGTCTGAATTCGAGCCCTCAGCGGTAAGTTTTCATCACAAGTTAACTGTTCAAGTGGTCGTAAACGCCACCCACTTTGGCCGGTTTTTGTGTCAAGTCGTGGAAGTATAGTTAGTACAGGATTTTTCGAATGGAATGCAATATCAAGATAAATTATTAACATCAATATATTCAATACAGGGTTATTTTGCAATATACGCCCAAGTTCGCGAGGAAGGTTCAGAATAAGTAATATAGGCGAATGGTGAAGAAAAATTAATTTTAAAACATCTCAAACATTCTGTCGTTTTTATATTTTAAATTCAGAATGTGTTATAGTTAAAAGTTAAGCCTAAATACGTCCCACTGCTGTATCTCATTTCTGAGAGGGTTTTAGGACAAGGAAGTGAATACCACGCTGCCCCAATGCGTGTTGGCGAACTTCACATGTCTTTGAAATATTTTGTTTTCTTATTTATCAGACATACAGGTGTCTCCAAGATGTTTTCTTTCACCGCCGAGCACGCGGTAAATCAGCACTTAAAATCGCAATTAACAATTTCATTTGTGCCGGCGGGGATCAAACCCATGTTGCTCGCGTTTTGTGAAATTTACAACGAGCGCTAACCATTTATTTAAATGATTGTCATTCATAAATATCTAACGCCTACTATTTTACTGCGCACGAACACATTCGTAAGGGTCACTCGATCGGCATAACCGTTGTGAATTGTAGCACACAGAGGAGCGCGCGTGCGTATAGTTGTTGCCCGTAAACCACATTTAATTTGAGATAATTTCTAATAAAAGTAGAAGCCTTATTTAATCGTACATATTTCCAAAAACTGCAATAACGGTATATCATTATTTATATCTTTAAAATAAAATATAAAATTTGTATAATCTTTGAAAAATAACCCCGTATAATTAGCAATTACATCGTCAGGTTCTGACAAGTTAGTTACTAGAGAACACTTGTTATTCAATTTTCGAGTTTCTTTATAACTGGCATATAACAGTAATTTGTTTGAAGGCATATAATGTTGGCTGGGTGTTGTTAGTACACTCTTCAATAAAATATCTATATAACAAGAACAAGCCAAAGATTACTGGATTACTACTGTAAAGTTACAGCCTCTATACGTCCCACTGCTGGGCACAGGCCTCCCCTCATTTCTGAGAGGGTTTTAGGGCAAGAAAGTGTCCGCCGCGCTGCCCCAATGCGTGTTGGCGAACTTCACATGTCTTCGAAATATTTTTTTTTATTCCTCAGACATGCAGGTTTCCTCACGAAACTAACAATTAACAGTTTCATTGGTGCCGGCGGGGATCGAACCCGGGTTACTCGCGTTCTGTTATATTTACAGCGAGCGCTAACCATCTGAGCTACCACGGCTCAGATGGTTAGCGCTCTAATTTGACGTGCATAACAATAATGGTAGTTGTGTTTGTGTGTGTTTATACTTTTTACCATTTTATTAATTTCTTTTTATTGCAAAATTAGCTACCATAGTTATTGGCGAGAAAAATTGGAATGAAAATAGGGAGAGGAAAAGAAAGAAAGAAGAATATAAACAATTCACCTTATTATATAAGAGTTTGGTATCTGCGTGAGTACAGCGAGTGGCAGGCCGAAGCCGAGGAAGTACGGCCAGTTAGTCTCGATGAACGTCAGCCGCTTGTGCAGTTCCCAGCCCATGTTGAACCACTTGTACTCGAACGAGTACAGCGAGTATAACAGGCACATGTGTACCAGGCACAGCAGCTCGCCCACGTACGCTATCGGCAGCATGCTCACCACCATACTCTGAAAGTGTCCAACAGAGACTGTGCTGTGCATAAATGGGTAATTATTAACTGAAAATGTTACTTGGCCTTCTACTTCTACTAAAATTGAAGTTAATTTTATTAAAGACAAAAAAGAGTGATTAAAAACTCGTAGCTAATATGGATTCTGTGGCGTTATCTAATACGGTGCAAGAGCTTCCGAAATTTTTATATGGAGCTTTATTCAACAGATTTTAAATAAAGTTTCATTAATCAACAATAATGAAATTTTACTTAAAAATTGTGTGACTTGTGACATTTCTTGGGGGAGGCCTATGTTCAGCAGTGGACTAATGAAGCTTCCGTTTTTATATACTTTCTATTTTGTCTAAATAATAAGTAGTGTGCCAATGGACACTAAACTGAAATATATTGAGAGATTTCTTAAATTGTATTGAGAAATTTGCCTGGTAAGTGTGACAATTAAGATTCCAAACTTAAGAAACGCGTGCGTCCATTAGATTATTATAGGTCCCCAATGATGACTATTAAAACCCAGATACTACAGACATCTAATTCATACACATTTAACAATATAACAAATATGATGAGTATTTGACAACAAAATTATAACGTCATTACTGTATAGTGTTATCATACAATTGGCTGCTACTTAAAACAACATACCTGAACTAGGAACAAAGCTTGCACTAGCAAACTGAAAAGCGAGTCGGCAATGATTTTGCTGACGCTAGACATAAATTGCGGCCGACCGCGCCGGTGTCTGTACGCCGAATCCGCTATGTCCTGAAAATCAGATTACGAGTTTTCTTATTTTTTTCCAAAAAAAAGTGCACTGATGGACATGGATCTTTTTCATTGTGGGGAGGATTTGCCTTAAGGCATCTCCTTTCATCGAATAGTATAGGACTGTGACACCACTAACAAAAGTGGAATTTTGATATAGGTAAATTCATGTCTTTATCTTGAATTTGATTGTTCAAAAACACGATTGTATAATTTTGACTCGATCATAATTATTTGCGAAAACACCTCTAAAAAATCACTATAGTGTTGAAATTATAACGAAATTACTTAATCTATATGCTTGGGAATCACTCAAATATATTCATAACATCAATATTCATAATGTACTTGCTCATTGTTTTGATTACTTAAATCAATAATTTTTAAAAAATATATTTTAAGATTCTGACAATTTCTAAGCGCTTTTAATCGTCGCGGGCGCTACGCAATTTTAGACCTTATGATGGCGTTTTTTCAAGTTTTTATAGAAATTATGTATTCACTCGGATCAGTACGGCGATAGCCTTTTCGATGTGTCGTCTTAAAGATCTTTTGTTAACAATCACAGTACCAGACGTGAGCAACCTTGTCAGCCGTCCCTAGTCCGTGTCAAAGAGCAAATACAATGGCCAGAGATCTGAGTCAGAGTACAGAAACCACTATGTTGGTCAGGGTATTTTAGGTCTGGCGTAAGCTATGGTTGTTATATTTAAGCTTATATTTTTATACGCTATCTATCTTAAGCGATAAGATTTTTCTGGTCTCGAAACAAAAAAGCTGATGATCTGCAAACATGCCTACCTCTTGAAAACTATGAAAAAATGAATGATGAAAAAATGTCAACACTTTTTTGTCACCCTTTTCGGACCCTAGTCGTTCATGCGTCATTTGCATTGGATTTTGAAATTTACCAGAAATATAAAACTTATCTCATTTAATTATAAAATAGATGAGCATATTATTCAAGAGGTCGAGGTTATAAAAGATTTAGGGGTTACTTTTGACAGGAAACTGATATGTATACCACACTACGAAAACATTGTTAAAAAATCTTCATGGTTTCTTGGGTTTGTCATACGAAATAATAAAGGAATCAGCATTAAAACTAAGAAAATGCTTTATAATAATCTCATTCGTAATGCAACAGTACTCGAGTACTGTTTTGATGTCTGGCGTCCACACTTTGCGGTTCACAATCTACGCATTGAGCGTATTCCAGAAGCGGTTTCTGTGGCATTTGGGTCGGTTAATTGGTAAAGCAAAGAGAGATTTCTCATATGCGCATAGGCTAAAAATTTTCGAAATGTTATCCTTGGATAAACGTAGAGAGCTAACGAACTTGTTGTTTTTATAAAAAATTCTCAACAATAGAACCAGTTGCCCACAGTTACTGAACGCATTTGAATTTAGCGCTCCTTCAAGATATCCGCATAAGCCGGTAACTCCACTGAAGCCTCCTACCTGCAGAATCTGCTAAATAGCTACAAAGATATAGTTGATGTAAACTTTGATTCCGCTTACAGTTTCCATAAAAGGATTGTTGATAGTATGACTAACCCTAGTACTTAAGATCGTGCAACCAGCTTGTATTTCCTATTTCCATACAGATGAACTACGTTCTTTTCTTTTAAATTTTTTAATTTAAATTATAAATCAAAACCTACTTAAGATGTAATAGTTATAATGCATGCTGTGTTTACTAGTAAGTAGTCACTTAGCTTAAGAAACTTTTCTGTTATTTAAGATTGTTATTGTGTAAGCTGACTGGTAGTAAGCAATATAAATAAAATAAATAAAAATATTTAGGGTCTTGAGTCTAATGGCAGTTAAAGTTGCTTCCTGTTGTAGGTGTAGGTGAAGCGAGGTTAGCTCAAGCATAAAAATACTTTGATGTACTATACTATGTGCCACTTAGCAGCTAATTATAGAATAAGGGAGATCAAAAAGTAACAGTAAATTTTTTATTTTACCTTATTCTATAAAATATGTTGGTCCAACTCGAATTTGAGACCAAGATCTGTTTCTAAGTATGTTACACTGACCATGGTCCATGGCCCACCACATAAGTAACTGGGAAGAATAGCATGTGTAAGTGCCTATGTATTTGGGTACTGTAAGAGGGCACTAAATTGCAAGTTCCATAACACTTATAACTATTGATGATATCAGAACACATAACTTTGTTTGAATCGGCCGATGGAACCCACATTTTCGATCAGGCTTTGATTAGAATACTGACCATTGACATTTTGTAAGTTGACTGATAGATACAAATAAAACTGAAAAATCTCCAAAAAGTCCATTTTGATTTATGTCATGTTCATACAAACTGCACAATTATTTATTTTTTTTTGTAAGGAGTGGAAACAACAAAAAAAAAACATCTCCCTAGAATGTAAATGACTACTGTCCTAAAATTATTTCATGGAAGAATTCATCAACTGGCACTGAATGCAGATAGAGCTTGTTTTTGAACATAACGTAAACATTTAGCATAAAACTACGTAATTTTAATCTGTGCAGTCCTCACCTGAAACCACAGACTATTCACCAGCTTGCTCAATAAAAACAGTGGAAGCACCCAAATCATCCTGAACGTCATAGAAAGGAAAGGCTGCATCCAAGCCCATACATTGTGAGCAACACCTGGGTCGTGACCGAAGACAGCCAGCACTAAATACTTCACCGCTGGTAATAGAGCATACTCGAACACAAGAATGCTCAGCAAAAATATAAAACCATTAAGAATGCACGACTGTAACACCCTCGTCAGTACTTTTGATTCTCTGAAACAAAAATGTTTGTTTTAAGTTTACAAGTTTAAATGCAGTACAAAAGAGACAGGTACCTACTAACTAGGATTAGAAGACACTACAATGCCCACTACTCAAATCACAAAATTTTTGTGATCTATGTGATTTTAAGGTGATAACCTCGAACATTTGGTGGTTTTTCTATTTAACATATTGTTTTAAGTTTTATAGATTACAAACCAAAATTTTAGTATATGGTTTTCGATTATATGACCTTGGATTGCATAAAAGGAAAACGCGATATCATGTAATTTTATCTATAGAAAAAAATTGCAAAGTTGACTCTAATAAGTTACATTTCTCCATGATACCACAATATTTTTACGAATAAGTTTATCGAATTATTTTTAAGGCATAGTAAATAATCATATCTAAGTTCTCACAAACCATTTTTCAATCCATAATGAAGTTTTGTTATAATAAATTAAAATGTTGAAAAAAACTCAGAAAAAACTAAGTAAACGCCAAAGCGTTTACTTAGTTTTTTCTGAGCTCTTGCTCGGTATAGCTATCTCATAATTTGCGTATTATGAAGTCATTGCATCACTTTCATTTTGAAACTCCCTCAGTAGTCCGTTAGCTTCACCGACAAATTAATAAGCCACGCCCCTAAGACTACGATTCATTCCCAAGGTATCGCCTTAATAGTATATTGCGCCACTAGGGAGGAAAGTATGACATTGCAACCCGCGTGGTATTGTCCGTGTGTTAAAAACGCGGGTTGCAATGTCATACTTTCCTCCTGTAGTGCGTATACTATTTTTTATCAGACCAGGATCAAAGGTTTGATTTAAATTCAAGTAATGTAATTCATTCTCAATGTATCATGACATATGCTTTGGACGTTTAAAAATTATACTACACTCTTGCTAAAGTTCAGATTGGTTTCTCACCTCGCTTTGAATGGGGTCCCCGATAAGAGTCAGTTCGGTTATAGTAACAAGGTGCTATATATATAAGGGTATATATAAGGATGCACTTCTAAATAAGCAAGTAGATAGAATTAATAAAAACTAGAAGTAACTTCTCTTTTCCTTGATCTAAGCCTTTCTTTCGACAGCATAATTTTTTTACTACTTCTGGAAAACTAAGCTATTACATAATTCGTGGACGAGTTTCAATCATACTTACAAAATAGAAATGTGTTCGTAAAGATGATAAGTGTAAATAAGAGTAAGACTGAAATATTAACAAAGTCGAGACTTGCAAAGGTTCAATTTGGCGTACCTCCGGGCTCTGTTTTGGAACCTATCTTATTTATTATTTTTTTAAATGATTTACATCAATATGTCAGTAACTCTATTAAGAAAACTAAAGTTGTACTGTTTGCTCATGACACTAATGCAGTTGTTTCGGCTACTGAAACTGATAGTCTACAAACAATGAGAAATTGGTTTGTTGCTAATGGCCTAGTTATCAACACTGGTGAAACAAACATCATGATATGTAGAAACAATGTTAAGAATAGCACTTGCTTGAATACATTTCTAGATGATAAAAGGGTTCAACTAGTAGAAAGTCCAAAATTTTTGGGGGTTAAAATTGATAGTCATTTAAGTTGCAAGCATGAACTAGAAGACATTGAAAGCACAATTAGCTCAGCTTGCTACGAGGGGCACACTGAAATGATCGGGAATAGAATATTTCGGATTGAGTTACAATAAAACCTTTTTTAGAATTTGAATACTGGCCTCTTAGAATCTTAATGACATTCAAACAATTAAAAAAATGTTTAGAAACAAAAACTACGTTGGTTTAAAGTTGACACGTCATTAACAGAAATGGAGCTCACGCGTGAACATTTCCGTGCCATAATTTGTCACAATTTTCGTCGCGGCTTATCTCAAGACAAATGTCTCAGCGAACTTGTTTCGATTTATGATGTTGAAGCACCGAGTCAAACGACAATATACAGCTGGTATGCCGAGTTCCGACGCGGTCGGTTTGTCGCTCAGCACTGTTTCTTCTGCAGGTAGACCAAGAACAGCGGTCACGCCTGAAAACATCGCAGCTGTGCGAACTATTATATTAGATGACCGTCATGTGACATACGAGCAGATTCGGGCTGTTATCAGTATGGAAATGACTGCAATTCAGTCGATATTACATAATGAACTGTGTGTAAGAAAGCTAGTTTCCCGCTGGGTTCCCCACAATTTGTCCGAAGAGCAAAAGGCGGCTTTTGTAGATTGGTGCCGGAATACTCTGCAACGCTTCAACGGTGGGAAGTTAAATGCCGTTTATAATATCATCTCAGGTGACGATTGATTTATTTATTCATGCGAATCTGAAATAAAACATCAGTCAGCAGTTTGGGTATTCGAAGACGAGGCCAAACCAACGAAAGTGGTTCGCTCCCGCAGCGTGTCAAAGAAAATGGTCGCTACGTTTGTCTCGAAAAAGGGGCATGTTGCTACAATTCCTTTACAGGAACGCAGAACGATTACCGCTGAGTTATATCACGGTTTGTTTGCCAAAAATGATAGCCGAACTTCAAAAAAAATAACCCGAAACGTCGCATCATCTTACATCACGATAATACGAGCCCCCATACGGCTCGGAAGACAAATGATTTTTGACGCAGGAAAACGTTGAGCTGATGAGCCATCCTCCGTACAGTCCTGACCTGAGCACAAACGATTTCTTTACATTCCCTATAATGAAAGATTTATTATGCGGTCAACGGTTTGAAGACCCCAAAGCAGCTGTGGAAAGTGCATTAAGTTGAACGGAGAATACTTCGAAAAACAATAAAATACAATTTAGCTATACCGTGCATGTGGTTTTTCTTATTCCCGATCATTTCAGTGTGCCCTTAGTATGTGCTGAAAAGCTAACGAGATGAAGTAGATATAAATGATCTAAAGATGGTAGTATACCACGCGTTGGTTAAATCTAGGCTTCGTTATAGCATATTATTCTGCGGGAGTTTTAAATATAATGTTCAAAATACCTTTATCCAGCAAAAACAAGCTATTACAACAAGGGTCCGTATATGACAACAGGAAACTTGTTAGTGCTTTAAAAAACTTGGGATTATGACCGTATCATGTCTTTATATACACGTCTTACTCACTTATTTTTCAGAACGTATTAGGGATTATGAGACTACATATGAAATAAATATTAGGGAAAATACAAGAAGACTCATCTAGTTATATTCAAGCAATGCTCACAATATCAGTCGGTTCATTTATTTAATAGGTTGCCAGTCGACATATAAAGTTGTCTGTACAAGAGCGGTTTCAAAACTAAGTTGAAAAAACGCTTCTATAGTGTTGATGACTTTGTTAATGATAGTGTTCAATCATCTTAATATTATTGTAACATAATCTAAAATATAATATAACAGTTTTGACAAATAACAATTTCACTACTAGACTTCACTCGATTTGTATTTTTATGACATTACCATTGTTAAATAAAATTAAGCCGATTAATCGACCTATTTGTAGTCACCGATTAGCCGGCGATTAATCGGCTAAAACCGCCGCATCGACATTTTATTTTATTAATTTCAGCAAAGGTTTTCCGTGATTTTCTGCGTGGTAAGAAGTGCGGCTACATTGATATGAATAAAGCTTTAAATTTAAGAAAAGAATAGTTTCTCTATATCTCTATATCGTCAGATTTATATGTAGGTAAATCAAATAAATAATAAAATAAGTAGGTTCATACATACGTTTTATTGAAAAATCAGTCTCACATGTTTTAATGTTAATTATTCTGGACATGGGAATTTGGTAAAAAAAAAGAATCTGAAGTAGCTATTTAAATTTAAAACTAAATAAAAACCTAAGTACTTACTATTTTAATTCTACTTTTTAACTTTTTCTAATCGTAATGCAGAGTAGTAACACAACAAAATAAAATATTTATAATGATATTCTTAATAAACTTTGAAAAAACAAATTTTAAGTCTCTTCCTTTGCATAACAAAAATAAAACTTAATTCTTGAATAAAGATTGTTTAACTACATGCATGTAGATTTTTAAAAGACAAATAAAACAATTACTTGTTTCTGTACTTAGAACTAAATTGTTACTGTTTTTGTACCAAAAATTAAATTAAATTATTATTTTCTGTACGTAAAATTACAATAAATTGTTTTTTTTTCCTGTAATGTTATTAAATAAAGAATCTCCAATCATCTTCATCATCAACGAATGAGACCTACATTTTCCGAACATCGCCGAAACAGGGATCGTCTGGGCCGAATAATCGGCCCTTTCTTAACCCATTAATCGGCTAATCGGCCAATCGGCCAAAGTACTAATCGGCCCAACTCTAGTTATAATTCTTGATGTATTCTTCTTCTTCTTCTTAAGGTGCCGTCTCCTTGCGAAGGTTGGCAATCATTAGGGCGATTTCAACTTTTGAGACCGCTGCTCTAAACAGTGATCTTGTGCTCTTCCCGAACCACTGGCGCAAGTTCTTCAGCCACGATATCCTTCTGCGGCCAGGCCTCCTTCTGCCTGCCATTTCCCCCGGAATGATAAGTTGAAGGAGTTCATATTTTTTGGTGTTACGCATCACGTGCCTAAAATATTCCAATTTCCTCCTCTTTATGGTTGTAAGTATCCCTGTGACCTTCCCCATTCTTTGTAGCACGGTGGTGTTTCGTACGCGGTCTCTCCAAGAAATTCTTACTACGTCACATCTCCAACGCTTCCAGTTTTTTAGACATGGCTTCTGTCAGCGTCCAAGCTTCTACACCATAGAGAAGTACAGAAAAGACATAGCACCGCGCTATGCGTGTTCGAAGAGAAATACTTAGGTTCCGGTCACAAAGAACTTTCTTCATTCTCGAAAAGGCGATGCGTGCCTGCTCTATTCTGCATCGTATTTCGAGCCTGTGATCTGTTTCGTCAACCACTGTGCCTAGATATTTGAATTTGGTGACCCGTTCAAGACCCTGACCATTTAGGGATAAAGACGTGATAAGCTCAGGTGTTCGGCTTATTACCATGTA